CGCTGCGGTCGCAACTTGTGGCAATCTGTGCCACTTGTGCGGGGATAAAGAGGCCTCTTACACAAAATTAGAATAAGAAAATTTGATCTACTTTCAAGAACACTAAAGGAGATAAACATGCATTTGAATTTTTTTCCCTGCGTAGCATGGATAGTAAATTGTCAACACTGGCTGAAAGGTTTATCAATTTTTTTTTCACTATCAATCAATAATGCAAAATATTTTTCAATCCATATTTTGTCCATAGATTGATAACGTTAACTATCCTTCGTGGCAAGCACAACTCAAGGGCACAAAAACCTGGACCTTACAGCCTCCTTTAGAGTGTTACTATAAGTGTAACACACTTGTGGTTGACGTCTACCCGGGCGAGATAAGTAAGCCTCCATTTTTTTTCTGCTCTAAAGACCAACATAGGGATGAACGTCATCGATAATATGAAATAAAATTCCTGAATGCACGTATTCTGTAAATTGGATCGCTTCTCCTTGACTTCCGTGCTAAGGAAGAACGCCGTATAAACATTCAACGGTTGCCAAATTTCCCTTGATGAAACATGCATTTTTGACAACATTCATGCATATTTTTCCTTGAAATTTTCAGATATTTTAGATTAAATTGCGGGCAAAATTTTCTGAAAATTTTGAAAAGTAATTTTCGCAATTTTCCTAGTAAACTCGGTTTTTATCGCAGGAAACTTGGCAACGTCTGAAGGCTCATACGACGTTTTTCCTCAGCAGGGCAGCAGAGATGTCATTCATCGAACGAACTACAAATCGACGGTGAAACTACCAAACCACGTATCTCGTTTGCGGTGTTTAAAAATCTACGCTCGCATTTTATTTTTTTGAAGTAGACCAAATCAATATCATTCTTTGAAATTTTCACGGAATTTTCTCCGCACGAAGAAGAAAAATCACAGAAATTTTCAAGACTGGATGTTGAGTAGTTTTTCATTTAAAAAATAAAGTATGACAGGAAGTCTGCGACGTCGCAAACCGAGATACGTGGTTTGGTAGTTTCACCGTCGAAATAGAATCAATTGCACGTGCTCGTATGATCCAGAAAAACACTATAAATTCAATTACATAGTCACTCATAGACATCATGCCAATGCGTTTATAGCCACTCATTACTACATTAATCTTCACCCTGACTTTTCAAGTACGATTAATCGTAGTCATGAGGATCAAAATAATCATACAAAATGAGGAAAAAACTGAATTTCGGGGAAGGTTGGATACGTTTTGACTCGTTATTCGCGTTGCTGTTTGTTCCGGTCCCGCTAAAGAGCTGGACCAGTGGCGTGGCGTGAATTTTGCGATATATCGATTGTTATGCCATTTAAACCTATGGAAAAGGATCGATAAACAGGGTGTTCGCAGCGAAGACCTTCATAATCGATTCTTTACCATAGGTTTAAATGGCATAACAATCGATACATCGCAATTCACGCCACGCCACTGTGGACCAATACTGCCATGCTAAGGAAAAATGCCGTATGAACCTTCAGGTGATGCTAACTTTTTTTCGGTAAATCACGAATTCTCGGGAAAATTTGTAAAGATTTCTCTTTCAATTTTTCAGATAATTTTGTCCGCTATTTCATGTAAAGATTTTGAAAATTTCACGGAAAAATATTCATAGCTTTCCTGAAAAACAAAAATTTTATCGAAAGGAATTTGGTAACTCTCGAATGTTCATACGGCGTTTTTCCTCAGCACGGCAGAATATGCTAATGGGCCTGTTGCATGCAAGAGATACAGCCGCGCGAATAGACTTTTTAGAGGTTAAATGACACGAAAATTACGATGGTCACATTAAAAAAGTCTGAAATACACTCCTTACTGCGCAATTTGCGTTGTTAGGAACGCGCTTTTTCAAATTTCCCGCGTCTGGGGGCAGTTTTCTAATCACCGGAAACGAACAAACGGCGGGCTCGGTGATTTCCGGAAGATATCGAGTCGTTGTTGTTGTTGTTATTTTTTCCTTCAGTTTGTCTACAAACCCAACGTGATCTCTTATAGTGGTCCATATACGCTTTATGCAGTAACCAAATCGATCAACTTTTAAATATCCAACGCAATCCTTCTACATTTCATTTCACGATATCACGAGCTCCGATTTTTAGGTTATGTTGTCAGTTTTAGTTGACCGGAAATAGCCGCGAGTTGCCGTTAATTGTTTCCGTTAGAAAACTGCCCCCAGACGCGGGAAATTTGAAAAAGCGCGTTCCTGACAACGCAAATTGCGCAATAAGGAGTGTATTCCAGACTTTTTTAATGTGACCATCGTAATTTTCGTGTCATTTAACCACTACAAAGTCTATTCGCACGGCTGTATCTCTTGCATGCAACAGGCCCATTGAGCACGGCTTTTCGATTTCAAATTATCAGCAATGAACGAGTCGTTATACCTTCTTTGTTCATTTTGCAAAGCTTTAATATCCCGGTTGATACTGTGATTACAATAGCAGGAAATGCACCGCTTCCATTTATTTTTTCAGCCTTCCATCCAGCTAAACTGTTGTTTTCTCTAATTTTTTTCCACTTTGTTCTAAAGATTCCGTTATGTTTTTCAGTTGTCTTGGACACAAACCGATGGTACCACCAAACTCAGATCACCTCGAAAGATTTGAGTATCACTATTGGAGCCGAATTCGACTGAGGACGAAGATTGAAAGGAAAAGGGATTTCGTTGCGTAGTACTTTAATCCCAGTGGCCTGGCGTGCTTTGCGATATATCGATTGATCTGCCATTTGAACCAATGAAAAAGGATCGATAAACAGGGTGTTCGCAACGAACACCGTAATAATCGATTCTTTACCATAGCTTCAAATGAAGAAATATCGATAATCAATTATTCACGCCTCGCCCCTGTTTAATCCATACATTGTCTAGGAACCCATTATTCCATAGGCGAATCCATGAGGGGCGTAGGGGGGGGGACGCTCCTTCCGTTTGCTCGAAAAAAGGAGGAAGATAAAGGGAAGGAAGAATGAAGGATGGAACGGAGGAGAGAAGGAAGAAGAAACCCAGATTCGGTAATCGTTCATGACGAAATTGACTTAAACTGCATATTAAATGCTTTAAAATTTTGAAAATTTTCGGGAGGAAGCCGGATTTCCCTA